TTTTTTACTTTATCATTGATTTGACATTAGGACAGAAAGATTGTGTGAGTCTGATCATATAATTAAAAACTAGAATTCCACCTAAAAGCAAAGTTTATTTTTGGCCATTAGTCTGGGATTTCTAAAGGTCTTTCCTTTTTTGGTATAAGTAGGAGTATTTGTATGTGGATAGTGCTGAGTGGGTGGAATTGCTTTTGTTTTTAAAAAGTGACAAGAATCTTTTTTTTTTTTTGTAATGAAATCAAGCTCTAGATTATTTGTCATTGTGAGATTAATAAACAGTTGTATCAAAAATATAAGTTCTTTATTAGAAATTCTGATTATCAAAGGGTCATATATCTATCTAGGGGAGCGCTTATTCCACTGAGCCATCTCCCTGGCCCTATATCTATCTATATCTATATATACAGTAACTATAGTAGGATGTAGAAATTTAGAGAAACTTTGAAAAAAATTTCTAATTTTTACTTAGGAAAGATTAATGCATATTTTAGAATTGTTCAAATTTTGCTTTCATAGATAATTATTTGGAGTTCTATGACTTAGAGATCAGAACATTTTGAATGAAATAATGTGCCTGGAATTTTGCTTATGTATGTGAAATGAAGATGCCATCTGTTCATTTTGAGGTAGATAATGGTGGGGAAAATGGGTGATAAAAGCCTTTAAAAATGTTGAGGCTCCCTAATTTGAGCTACTAAAAGATCTCTTCTTTGCCAGCTCATGTAATGTATTTTATTTCAATGTTTAAATACACAAAAGAATGAATTATTCCCATGTTGGAGGGTGAGATAAAAAGCAGTAGATGCTCATATCTTGTCTAATTTTTATTCCTACTCAGTAGCATTAGTGCTGTGTCATTTAATTATATTTTTCCTTTTTGAAAATTTAATTTGTATGTTGACACAAATGCAGAATAGATGAGAAAATCTGGCATGTCTGTGAATGTTCTGTTGTGTAATATGTGTTTTTCTTAATTGTTTTTAACATGTAGTTGGGATAATTTGTTATAAATGTGTTTATGGCTCACCGCAGCATATTAAGTAGAATTAAGTTACAGCATTTTATCATGGTTAGTGTTGTACATTTCCCTACCATTTTTGTATTACTTAATTTGTATATCTGATAAAATACAGCCTGAGGACTGTTGGTGTTCTTCAGTGCTTCGTGAGGTATAAGGATATCAAAGAGATCCTCTTACTAAATTTCACAGTACCCACTAACCCGACACCCCCTCCCCCATTCCTTTGGTAGTGCTGGGGATTAAACACAGGGCCATGAGTATGTGGGGCAGATGCTGTACACTGAGCTGCTTCTCTGGGACCCTCGCCCACAGCCTTACAGAAGGGAATTAATGAGCTACACTGGCATTCAAATTTTATTCCACAAATACTGAGTTCCTGGTGTGGTAGGTACAGTGCTAGATACTAAGGAATGCAAGAGTAGTACGTTTGTGACCTCATCTGCTTTTGCATCACAGGCTAGAAAACTACTTATTAGCTAAGAAATAATCCTTAGTGAATAGGAAATTCAGACATTAGATAATCCTAAAGGGAGGTTGGTTTGTGATTCTTTTATTTTTTTTTCCTAATTTTATTTATTTGTGTGTGTGTGTGTGTGTGTGTGTGTGTGTGTGTGTGGCCAGCTCAGCCCACCAGGGGGCGCGGCTGGCTGGCATGTGGTGCTGGGGGATTGAACCGCGGTCCCTGTGGTTTGCTAAGCTTGTTCTAAGTAGGTGCTTTAGACCACTGAGCCATCTCACCAGCCCTGGTTTGTGATTCTTTTAGTGGATTGGCGGAAGAACAGGCTGTAAAACAAATAACAATTAAGAGGAATGAATGTTTAAAAATATGCTAGGAGTTATTTGAGGTGGTGTTTGAGGTTTAGAGATACCACAAAAGTAAAGAGATAGTAGGTTTGGCTTGTGATGATAAATAAATCAACTAGAGATTTGAATTTACTTAAGATTTTTCAGATTTGAAGTCATGATCTTTGAAAAACTTTAGAATTTGCTTACTGTGCTGAAGATTTGATACATTCTAGTATATACATAGTAGGAAAATGGTGAATTTAATGATTTTAATAAAATCAGGAAATAACTTACTGGTAAATAAGTACATCTAGAATTATTTCATATGTAAGATAGAGAAAGCTTGTTTGCTAAATGAGCTTAATAGGTGAATTCTAGAAAATGCATTCTTGTTTAGACTTTAGATTTAATATATTATCCATGCTCATTAGCACCTCTTTTATCATAAAGGGTTGACATTTAAAATATTTTGCCCATTAGCTACTATTTTGTAAGCACTGTGATTTTTAATACTTAAATGTTTTTTAATGAATTCTAAAATATTTCAAAAAACTTGGAGTCTAAGTGGTATGCATAGCATAACTATGTCATGTTGACCAGTGATTTCTGTAACACCTTTATTCCTTATCAGTAGCATTAGTGATGTGTCATTTAATTGCATTTTTCTGTTTCATTTAGTTATATTTAAAAGGTTTATGTGATTTTTATTTAAGTTTTGGAAGTTTGAGACATTGTCATGTTTTCTTTGCTTCATCAGTAGTTTGCCATTAGGACAGAAAGATTATATGAGTCTGATCAAATAATTAAAAACTAGAGTACCACCTAAAAGTTACTATACTATATTCTGGGATAGGGATTGAGACCTTTGAAATATATTAAAGTATTTGTCTTGGCCTGTGTCAAGACTGTCAGATTATCTTGTTTTTTGATGCATTTTTATGTTTGTGTTTTTATATTCTACTTTCTCCTTAGCCTTGCAACTGTTAGAGAGCATTTATCATTTATTGTTGCTAGAAGTCAGCTCCTATATTCATTTAGCTAGAACTAAGCTGTAGGTTCACAATCTGTGTACAAAGTAATTGATAGCTTTTATAAATAAGCAGTTGAATTTGCCTAGGTTCTGTATATTGTATCAGAATTATGCATATTTAAATTTTTAGGATATTTGATAAGGAATGTGTTTGGGAAAAAAAAAAACCTATATGCCAGATGTGGTGGCATACACCTGTAATCCCAGCATTCAGGAAACTGAGGCAGGAGCATCTCCTTGAGTTCGAGACCAGCCTGGGCTACATAGTAAGTTAAAGGCTAGCATGGACTACAGAGTGAGACCCTGGCACAAAAACAAAAACAAAAACACCTCTACTTATATATATTGAATGGGCTTTCACTGAATATTCACCTCTTAAATTCTTTTAAAATACTCTTCCCTGTAATTTTATGTTTTTCAGATTTCTTGCCTTATAATTCTTTACAAAATATGTATCTGTCATCCACACTAGTTATCCTGTGTTTGATTTTGGCTTTTCCCTGCCTTTATTGTCTCCTGAGTGATAAAATTGTGTGGTTTGTGTTCCAGAGCTTCTTCCTCCTGTTTTGTTGAAGGCACTGGGCTCCTTGGTGCCCAGTGCACTGGTTTCATCACCCACATTGGTCCTGTTGTAGCAGGATGTCCCTTACGCTTTCCTTTTTTTTCCTTACGCTTTCATTATAACTGTTTAACATTCTTCCTTTTCTCTTTCTTTCTTGTCTCTGGGTTCTGAGTAAAACCCAGACAAAACAGCACTGTTCTTAGTATTTAGTGTTTGTCACTTAGAAATTTTTATTCTTTTGTGGTGCTGATTGAGCCCAGAACCTCACTCTTGCTAGGCAGATACTCATTGAGCTACGATCTTAGCTCTTGGTTATTCATTGTTGATTGCCTAGTTTCAGATGGGATTGGAGCCTTTCAGAGGAATGTTGACACCTCCTCAGAGGAAGTGTTCCAAAAAGTACCCTGCTGTCCGTTTGAACTTCACCTAGTGTATTCCTAATCCAATTCTCTCACTGTAATGGATTTGTCTATTACCCTCCCATCTTTCTTCACTATAACCGTATCATCTTTCAGTTTCTCTTTTACTCTACTAGTGAGTCTTGCCCCTTTGAATGTATTTTTCCAAAAAAAAACCCAAACAAGATCATTATTATGATGTAAAAAATGAGGGGAGGAAAAAGGGCAGAACAGACCAAAAAAGGGAAAAGCTGATTAACTGCATTCACTTTTAATTTCTTTTTTTTTTTTTTTTAATTTTATTTATGTGTGTGTGTGGCCAGCTCAGCCCACCAGGGGGCGGGGCTGGCTGGCTAGCATGTGGTGCTGGGGATTGAACCGCGGTCCCTGTGGTTTGCTAAGCTTGTTCTAAGTAGGTGCTTTAGACCACTGAGCCATCTCACCAGCCCCTAAAGTTGGTAAGGATTGAACTCAGGCCCTTGCACTTGCCAGGGAAGCACTTATTCCACTGAGCCATCTCCCCGGCCCCACTTTTAATTTCTGAATCTCATTTTTAAAAAAATCTGTAATTGGTGACTTACTCAGTGGGGAGGTATTTGTTAAATTAAATAAAAATATATAGTTTTTAGTGGGCACACGTTCACAAAGTAGCCAACCTTTATTTACTGGTGTGGCTCATCCTTCAGCACTAAAAAAACCAGCCAAGCGAAATTTTTAATATTTATGAGGAAATTAGTGCTTACTGATACCTGTTAACAGTGGCTTTAGGTTTAGCTTCCCAAAGTACTTATTGCTAGGATATTCTATTTTTTACTGATGTAGGATATGGTCTAGTTTGGTATATGAGCAAAAGTAGGATTCAGGTTCCTAGTACAACACTGTATGTGTGAAACTTGATGAAGTAATTTCTGGTAATCATGATAACATACATACTGAGACTTCCTGTGATGGGGTAGTTCATGTAGCAGTCTTCTGTGTTTCAAGTGACTTGATACAATAGTCTAAGAAAACTGCCTTACTAGAAGATGGTGCTTAAACATGTAACTTTTCTACCCAGTGGTTCTACCCAGCTCTGATAGAATTAAACATCTAGGCTGCCCTGGTTTTGCTCTCTAGCACAGCCCAAAACAAACCAACAAACAGACAAAAATCTGTCACATTTTCTACTTGATAAGCTTTACCTTCTACCTTTTTCTACAGACTGATACACCATCAGGACTGGAATTGCAGTCATGGTATCCTGTTATAAAGCAGGAAGGTGAACATGTTTCTCAGACACATTCATTTTTACACCCCAGGTAAGCAATATTGATTTGTTTATTCATTCACACATTCAGTTATTAGCTATCTGCTAAATACTGTTTTAGGTACTGGGAATTTATTATTTAGTTTTCTGTCTGTTAGTAGATTACCATTAAAAATTGGAAGTTTTTAAATAGTAATTTTGGGATTTAGTATCTTTTGCTTGTATTTGTCATTAGGAGGAAATTGTAGGAGATTGTGTATTACTTAATTAACTCATTAGAAAAAAATTTTGAAGAATCTGAAATGAAGTATAAATTATGTTCAATATTTGACATAATGTTTAGTTGGTATGTCTGTGTTTTTTCTGGAAGTAATTAATTTCCTTTCCTACCCAGAAGTAAGAAAATGAAAGTTTTCTTACTTCTATTCAAAAAGTAAACCAGTTCTTCAAGAGTTTGGTTTGTAACCTTGATAGTTTAATAGAAAATTCTTTTGGAACTTTGAAGTTTTATAATAACCACATTACTTAAAAGCAAGTTTTCATATTCTCAATAAAAGCATACTGTAGGTTATAAACATTTTATTTAGATCTTTATCTGCTCCTATAAGTCTGTAATGTTCCTTAAGCCTGATGATGAACAATCTTGAATCTTATTTACAGCTGTATAAAAATCACCATCTGTATGTTAATTTTAAAATAAGTCTTTTGGGCATTATTAAACTTTTTAGTTTTTTTTTTTTTTTTTTTTTAAAGCAGAATACTGAGTTTTCAGATATAGAGTTCATGAGATTGATAAGAGGGGCAACATAGATGTCCTAAGAAAACAAGATAGGAGATTGATTATCTGATATGTAGGAAATAAAGTGCTAACTGGTTCTATCTTTTCACTAAAGACTACTTAGGTTATAGTTAAAATGTTACTTAAATGTCTCACTCAGGTTTGTTCTGCGAGCCTTGTTGATAATCTATTGAACAATCTTATATGTGCTTTTAGCAAAACTGGTAGTTATCCTTTCTGTCTTAATTTTGTACAATTTGTTGTTGCTGTTTTATTGAATAAGGAGAAAGTACTAAAGTACTATACTATGATAAGATTGCTCCCTGGAGTTTGATATGGGAACTGCCTGGTGTCTGAGCTGAGCTCAGAGACTGTTCTTTCCTTGAGTTGTCTGAGAAGGCCCAGGAGATCCTCATTGGCCTGTTGTGAATCAGCCCGGAGCCTTGCAGTGGGTGACTAACACAGCATCACCCAGCAAAGAGCAAGTGTTCTTTGCTTTGGAGGGTTGAAAACAGTCCTTCAGAGTAACATACAGCCTCTTCTCTCTGGAATAAACCTTACTTGGTCAGAGCTGTTAAAGGGTTTTGCAAAGTGCTTCATGTTCCCTCTGCTTCCAGCTGGTTTTGAGGGAAGAAGGGATTTTATTTTCAGTGTCTATGAAATCTTTTCTGCTGGCCTTAGTTTCTGAGTTGTTATATTGTCTGCTTAGTTACAAAAACTGAGTTCAACTTGGAAGTATGTCACATATTTTGATTTTTACCTAAAATAATAGATAATATGTGTCTTTCTTTGCCTTTCTTTGTTTTCAGCTATTACTTATACATGTGTGATAAAGTAGTTGCTCCAAATGTGTCACTTACTTCTACTGTATCCCAGTCTAAAGAGGTCACAAAGACAGAGGCAAGTAAATCTGTATCAAGACAGTCAGAGAAGCCTCATAGTAGTAGTAAATATCAGAAAACAGTATCTTATCCAGATGTCTCACTTGAAGAACAAGAGAAAATGGATTTAAAGCCAAGTAAAGAATTATACAGCCGTTTAGGTAAGTGTCAAATTACATTTAAAAAATCAGATATTAATACTTTTATTTCGTATTTTGAATCTTATTTATTTAAGCTAATTTTTTACATTATTGAAGTTTTTACCTTAAAAAGTCACCTTTCAGAACCCTTCCTTTCTTTGAACTTCAGTTGCTATATTTTTCTGGAATGATGATAACTATGAAATTTATATCTTTGTATTATGCACATGTACTTTTTAAACAATGTTCACACTGCAAGTGATTTTTGATATATTTTTCTTTTCTGTCTTTTTTTTTAATTTTTTTTTTTTTTTTGCAGACCAGGGGATTGAACTCAGACATTTGGGCTTACCAGGCAAGCGCTTATTCTACTGAGCCATCTCCCCGGCCCAATATTTTGATTTTTTTTTTTTTTTTTTTTTTTTTTTGCTGAACCGGGGATTGAACTCAGGCCCTTGTGCTTGCCGGGGAAGCACTCATTCCACTGAGTCATCTCCCCAGCTCCTTCTTTTCTGTCTTTTGTTGCTGTGACATTTCTTCACTTAGGTCCTTTTCTAATTTGCTTTGGGTTGAAAAACCATGTAACTAATACTAATAAGTATACGTAAGGAGGAATAGTTGGAATAGTGATAGCAAGTTCTGAAGCCAAGCAGTGGTATAAATGCTTATCATTTGACAGAAAAACTGCCTGTCTACTGTACCTTTAAAAAAAAAATACTGATCAAACAAGACATGTATAGTATACTCAGATACAGCTTTGTTTAGTGCTTAGGCAATATGACCATTATTTCAGCTGTCATGGAACAGTTGGAAAATGCTCTAATTCAACTGTTTTTGTAGATAATTGAGATGCTTGAGTATTTTCTATATTTTAGAGATTTTTAAGTTCAGGTTCATTTATGTTTAAATGTGCTAAGTAATAGTATACCATTATGTCATATTTTTGTTATATTTTATTTCCTAAATTAATTCTAGTAAGTTTTAAAAAGTAGTTAATACAATTCACATATAGTAGTTTACCCCTTTAAAGTGTACAATTCAGTGGTTGTTAGTAACAACAATTAGTGTGTTAGCTATGAGTAACAAAGTTGTGTAGTCAACATAGCTTTTTTAAAAAATTTATTTGTGTGTGTGTGTGTGGCCAGCTCAGCCCACCAGGAGGTGGGGCTGGCTGGCATGTGGTGCTGGGGGATTGAACCGCGGTCCCTGTGCTTTGCTGAGCTTGTTCTAAGTAGGTGCTTTAGACCACTGAGCCATCTCACCAGCCCAACATAGCTTTTTAATTTCAGAACATTCTCATAATTCTGTAAAGAAATCCTGTAGTCCTTTTAGATGTCACTCATGTTTTTTTCTTTTCCCATAACCTCTGGTAACCACTAACCTATTTTCTGTCTATGCATTTTCCTATTTTGGTCATTTAATGTAAACAGTTTTACATCACTTTTGTGTCTTGTTTCTTTTGCTAAGCTTAATATTTTCTCAGTCCATGTTTATCTGTCAATATTTTTCTTTTTTATAGCTTACTATTCCATTGTGTGGATATATCTTATTTTCTTTATACATTCATTAGTTGGTGGATATTTGTACTGTGCCCACGTTTGGGTGGTTAGGAATAATGCTGCTATAAACACTTGTATACAAATTTTAGTGTGGCATGTTTTCAGCCCTTTTGTGTGTGTATTCAGGAGTACAACTGCTGGGTTTTACAGTACATATGTTAACAATTTGAGAGACTCACAGACTTTTCCAAAACAGCTGTATCATGTTATAGTCCTCCTAGTAGCTTAGAAGGGTTTCAGTTTGTGTGCATCTTTGTTAATACTTGCCATTTTCTGTCTTCTAAAGATAGCCATTGTAGTGATTGTGAAGTGCTATCTCATTGTGTTTTTGATTTGTTACTTCCCAGTAACTATTGATATTGAATGTCTTTTTATGTTTCACTAGATATTACATGTTTTCTTTGGAGAAAACTGTTCAGGTCATTGCTTGTTTTAAATTGGATTATCTTGGGGCTGGTGAAGATGGCTCAGTGGTCTAAAGCACCTACTTAGAACAAGCTAAGCTAAGCAAAGCACAGGGAGCGCGTTTCAATCCCCCAGCACCACATGCCAGCCCGCCCCGCCCCCTGGTGGGCTGAGCTGGCCACACACACACACACACACACACACACATAAATAAAAAAAAATTTTAATAAATTGGATTATCTCTTTACTCTTGAGTTGTAAGAGCTATATTCTGGATACTGTATGTTATATAAATAATACACCATTGTCAGTTGTTTACTTAATTTCTTCTTAATGACCCTTGAAGCATACAAATTTTTTGTTTTTGTGAAGTCCAGTGTGTCTGTTTTCTTTGGTTACTGGCTTCAGATACATTGTGTAATCCAAAATCAGGAACATTTATATTCAAGAATTTTAGAGCTAGTGAGATATCTCAGCAGACTAAGTGCCTGCTTAGGGTGAGCGCAGGGACCAGTGTTCAATCCCTGGCACCACATGCCATGGCAGCTCTGCCCCTGGGTGCGCTGAGCCAGATCCCAAGTCTGGGTGTGGTGGTTCATGCCTGTAATTGCAGTGTGGGGCAGGCTGAAAGCTGGAGGATCACTATAAGTCTGAGCAGCGTAGCAAATATATTAAAAATCAATCAATCAGTAAAAGAATTTTAACTTTTACATTAGCTTTTTTTTATCCCTTTTGAGTTTATTTTTATAAAACATTGTTTATTCTTTTGAATTTATTGAAAAGACTGTTCCTTCCTGGTATTACTTTCCCTGTAGTCAAAAACAGTTGGCTATAAAAGTATGGATTTACTTATTTCTCAACTAAAAATTCTTTTCCATTGATTTATAGCTTTGTAGTAAGTTTTGTTTGCTATTTTGTACTCCTTGTTAATTTTCCAAAAAGATATTTGGAGTTTTGACAGGCAGTTTCACTAAGTTGGTCAAGTAGGGAATATTGCTTGTCTTACTATCAAGTCTTTATGATTGTGGGATATCTTTCTATATACTCAGATTTTTTATTTCTTTCAGCAGTGTTTTATAGTTGTCATTATATACATCTTCCATTACCTTGTTAAATTTCTAAACATTTTATTTGATCTATAAATAGAATTGTTTTAATTTTATTTATGAGTTGGTCTAGTGAGGTTGTAATAGTTATAGTCATACTTTGTCCCTTTTTTTTTTCCTTGAAGATCCCTCATTCTCAAGTAATTCTACAAGTAAAAAGAAATCTGATTCTACCACCTGTGACTTTAGAGACACCAACAAGCATGATGCTGTACCTTCATCTCCGCTTCTTGTCAAAGATGTTATTTGTGAGGATGATAAAGGAAAGATCATGGAAGAAGTAATAAGAACTTACGTAAAACAACAAGAAAAGCTGAACTCAATTTTACAAAAGAAGCAACAACTGCAGATGGTAATATTTTTATCTAAACAGTACGTTATAAAAAGACACTTGCGTATTCTGAATAGAAAACGATGAGAAGCAGAAAATGTTCTTCAGGTTATTAATAGTTTTACATTTACAGGCAATTTTACTTAGTAGTTTTTAGAGAAAATTGTTTTTCACAATAATTACTTATTTATAATAAGACTGATAGCCAAGTTTCAGGTATTTCCTGATCTGTTTTCTGGAACTCAAATTTTTAGTGTGGTAGAACTAAAGTAAAAATTCATTGTCATTTTTTTTTTTTTTTAATGTTACAGGAAGTGGAGATGTTGAGTAGTTCAAAAGCTATGAAGGAACTCACTGAAGAACAACAGAATTTGCAGAAGGAGCTTGAATCTTTGCAGAGTGAACATGCTCAAAAAATGGAAGAATTCTATGTTGAACAGAAAGACTTAGAGAAAAAATTGGAGCAGGTAATGAAGCAGAAATGTACCTGTGACTCAAATTTAGAAAAAGACAAAGAAGCTGAGTATGCAGCACAGGTAAGAATTACTCAGTTTGTATAATGCTGCCCTTTCAGCATGGAAATGGAAATTTTTGCTTCTTTATTAAAGGACTTAAGATTTGTCAAGCTTATTTTATTAGGCTAGATTTGAAAATAGATAATTATGTTAAGCACAAATCTTTACTATATTGTCCATGGTGATTTTTTGACCTTTGTTACTTTAAACTTTTTATTGGGTTTCTGTAATTTAATTACTTAAATTGCTAATCACTAGCTTTTTGAAAAAAAATTTCTATTATTTTGGGCTAGGAATGTAGCTTCCTGATAGAGTACTTGCTTAGCATCCCTAAGGTCCTGGCCTTGATTTCCCATACCACAAAAATGAATGGATACTTTTAAAAAATACAAACTTTGATATTATTTTAATTTAGCATATTACAGGCTTCCAGGCCCTAAAATTAACAAACATGAGCTGTTTTCCACAATATCCAGAAGTTCTGGAAGCAAAATAAGGAATATTTGTTAGTTGTAGATCACAATTGAGCAATGAACAAGTAACTAATATGAGAAGGCTATAGGCTGTAATGAGAGGTATAGTATATAGGTCATAATGAAAGTATTCATTCCTCTTGATCCTTTGCATTTTCCTCAATTTGATGTGGTGTTAAAATGGCAAGTGATAAGTAGCAGACACTCAAGGGATTGTAGTATACATGAAATAATTCATTTATAAAAAATTATTTTATAGTAGGTTTTTCCCAGATAGAATTAAATAAGACAAAAAATTAAATGAAAACTGACACAGCCTTTTAAATCACGCAGTTGGCAGAACTGAGACAGAGGCTGGACCATGCGGAGGCGGATAGACAAGAACTCCAAGATGAACTCAGACAGGAACGAGAAGCAAGACAGAAGCTAGAGATGATGATCAAAGAGCTAAAGCTGCAAATTTTGAAATCATCAAAGACTGTTAAAGAATAGAAACTGTTAAAGAGATTCATCCGTGTATTAACAGGGTTTTTATGTTGTTGTTGTTGTTGCTTGCTTTGGCAAATTGAATTCTCAGTATCTTATTTGCATGAAGATAACTACACATTCTGTTCATTTGTAGCTCAGAAAAAGTGAAGAGATTATATATTAGTACATAAATTTTTACATTTTCCAAATGAATAAAAATGTATGTTTCTTTGTACATTTTCCCCCCAGTTAGCTTGGTAACAGTAGTGTATGGTTTGAACTAGTAGATAATTAACTATATTTCTAATGCAAATTTAATAATTGTATACCTTTTAAAAGCTGCATTATGGGATGGATAATAGTTGTGGTAAATTTTGTTATCCATATTTCAGATTCAATTTTAATAAAAATACAGTGGTAGCATCATAATGCAAATATGCAATACAAAGCTACCCAAGGTGTTGAATCTTCATTCTCAGCACAGTCTACTTCTAAGCTGATACAGTATACTCATTGTTGTATACAAAATTTGATTTTACTTTGTCCAGATTGTGGAATGAATTCCCACCAGTTTTTTCCTTTTAATGTCTCCCTGAGAGAGATTTCATTAATGAAGTTGTAGCACACCCCATGGACACAGAGAGGAAGTATGACATGCTTCTTTTGTTATTCATTGCTGCTAAACACAGAAAGCAGTTGCAATTTGTCTTTTAGTTTAATTGTGATTGTATTTAGGATTTTTAGCAGTGAATTTGAAAATTAATTTCTGAACTTCTGTTAATGGTATTAATATGGTGTGAAAATACTAATATTCTTGAGAAAAACTGATTCCATTGATGTACATTAGTTTCTATATGGTTTGTAATCTTCCTGTACAGTTTTTATATGTAGTTATGGGTCTTAATGAAATTTATATAGTGAGTTTGTTTTCTTTTAAATTATAAAGTATAAAACAGCTTGAAAGGTTATTTTGGACTTTTGTATGTTTAAATGTTATTGTACCAAAATTTGCACAAATGGACCATTTTCAATTACACTTTAATATCAAAATCAGGAATTTACACTTAATAGAGTTTGATAGGTTAGTACAGGACAGTTTAATTATTTGCTTCTCAAGGTTTTTAGATCATTTTTAGACAGTAAAAGAATTTCACTGTTTGGGGAAGGGCAACATCTGCACTTTTTTTTTTTTTTTTTTGCACAGAAAAGTCATTTTAAAAAGAAAGTTTCACATTAGTTAATGCTTAGCTTAAAAGTTATTAGGTAAAGTTTTCATTGTGTATCTTTTTAAAGGAAGTTTCCTGAAACCACCACTGACATTATTCTATGGATTTTGTTTTTCATGTTCTGTCATAAGGTACTATATAAAATTCCTTAAACTTCTTTTTTAAAAAATTTGTTATATACTGTTTGCAGCATAGAAATTAGATTCTTAAATGATATGAAACTTCAGAACTCTCTTAGGTTATCATGTAAGTGGTTATTTTCACATTTTGTTTAACGGTACTTACATATCCAAAAGGAACCTTTGTACTTCCCAGTTTCTTTAAATATACTATAATGTATATTTTGCATTTAAACCTTATTAACTCTATAATCTAATTTTTTGATTCTTGGAGTCTTTTCAAGGATGAATCAATGTTAAAATAATACACAAAAGTAAATACTTAAAATGATATATTCTCCCAGTGCCATATATTTAGATTTGAGCAAAGAAAAATTACAGACTTTTATGATAGTTTTATTTTAGTTGTAAGATAACTGTCATAAGTCACATTTTTGGGGAAACAGACTCAATCACCTATAATGTCATTTATTTTTCTAATTTACTAAAAAGCTTTCTACTGATTTTATTTAATAAATGGTAAGCTTACATAGGTTACAACCCAAAATATCTAAAACAAATTGCTTATCTTTGAAATATTTTATTTTAGAATTCTTGACTGGTCCTTAAACACCATTAAATTATTTATAAACTCTTGATTTAGAATTGAGTAAAGAAAACTTCTAATCTTCACATAATGAAAAGTTGCCACATGTATAGTTTTCATTTTCCAGAAGATAATGTTTATGTGCCATAGGTTTCTAACTTCCTTGAAAATAGTTTTTTAGTCAGTTGTAAATATTACTGTTGAAAGTAACTAAGTTAAATTGTACCACATAGCTTGAAAACAATATAGAGATTTTGTAATACTTTAAAAAAAATGACCTCTGCTAAAAAATCTTACCCATATAGAACTTATTCTTCTATTCTTTGCATGCTTATTTTATGTGCTGGTTGCTGATTTAAAGTTTGTTTTGGTGTTCGTTTTGTGTGCCATGTTCACTAGGCAAGCAGGTTTTCCCTCAGACTTCATAATGTTCTTTTAGGGAAATAAAATCATTTAGTCTAAAAAGCTACACTAAAGGAACAGTGTGTAAAGAGTTCTGTTAGAGCATCTTTAGATGGAAGAAAGAACATTAGCACATTAGCTTACTAGGTAATGAGTGATGATAGGTTGGGTGGGTGGTCATAGTTTCTATAGTTTAAACTTTATGGGAAAAATAGACCAAATCCTTAAAGGTAGTAAATATAAAGCCTGACATTGAGGAAACTCTTAAACCACACAAATTTTACAAATGCAACGTTTGATGCTATGCGAAGATTTTACGAACAAATTAAGTTTGGCTTGTGCTTTAATTTTTGTAAAATGTTTTCTTTCCTTACATTTCTGTATCTGGGAGAATTAGAATGTTTTATGCTTCTTGAACTAATTTTATAACATATTTAATATATTACCAGTTTAGATATAAAATCACTTGTAAATACTGAATTATAAAACAGTTATTAAAGTAGGTGAAATAAACCAACTGCTATGATATTTTCAGGTCATTCATACCTTTTAGAAATCCCAACAGAACAGCCAGTTCTTTTGCACATCTGTGGTTTCCGTTTAAAGGAAAATAAAAAGGAAAAAAACTAATGTAAAACATGCTTAAGGTATTTCCCTAGAATTAATTGTAGTTAGCACTGAAGATTTTTGATCAGCTTCTAAAGTTTTCTTCTCAATGATAAGATACGTTTTGATTATTTAGGGAAGAATACTCATTTTTTAATTTGCCCATTATGCATTTAATCCACATGACATTAAAAATGAATATAATAAATTGTGCTTGTACTGTACATCTATTCCTGTGCTTGGGACTACTTGTTGATAGTTTTTATTGATGCTGGCAGCAATAAAGGACATACAACTGCTGTATTATATGTTGTGGAATTGAGTGAGCAGTTCAAAAATGTTTTCTAGTATAGGGTATTAAGCATTTCCACTGTTGGAAGAAAAGCATATTGTTATTTTGTATTGCATTTTGTCTAAAGGACAGTTTTTTAAAAAATATTTCCACTTAAATGGCTTCTAAACTATATAATGCAATTTAGAGCCTGGTTAGAAATAGAACTAAATGTCTCATGTAGTGCTTCTGTTTTCTAATTAGGAGGTGATCAAATGTAAAAACAAAGTTAAAAATTAAGCCCAGAAAAAAAATAGTGTTTAAAGTTAGGTTAATGTAAGAGAAATTTGTAAGATTTTTTTTCTCCAATAGATACCTCACTTGAATAAAGCACAGCATACTTTAAGTAGTTCTAGTAGAAACATCCTACTAAGACAGTTGTGAAATCTAGGACATCTTTTGGGGAATTTGAGTTTGTGAGAAAACACGGCTTTTAACTATTCTGTTAAAAGTACTTGTTTATATTGATAATTTTAAGCCAACATAGCAGTCTTAAGTTATTTCTGAATTTATAACCTGTTAAGGCAGTAATTGAATTAACTTCTTCTGTAACTGTTGAAACAAATTGGTTATACTGACCATAATTTGATTTATAATTCTGCCAATGATGTACAGTTTTATGATTAAAATTGCTGTGGTCGGTTGCATTACATGACATACAAAACTGTCCTACCTCACGTGAAATAAATATTTTGTATGGTTTTACTAAAAAATAAAGACTCATCTATCTGGTCACTTAGTTTACAAATTTGAATTATATTTATTGAAACATGACATACTGTGCTCTTAGCTTATACCTCAATTGTATTTTGTGTTGTTTTCCATTTTCATGCCTTGTAAATAACTTGTATAGATTGTGGATCAGATTCCAAATAAAAACTTTTAATGCCAGTGAGGTTTGGTTGACATCATCTCTGTATCTTGTGTTAGCTTAATTTTTTCTGCCTTTAAAATGTTACTCATTACATACTGACACACATGAAAGACCTATTTTACTATAAAGTGTGAAATTGTATGTAATATTTCAGGTGGTGAAAATACCAACATTTTGAGATCATTCTCATGATACTGGGTCTTTTGCTTTAAATTGATGCCCCAGCCATGTTGTAAATTACCTATAACTGCCTAACAAATCATCCCAAAATTTAGCATCCTAAGATGGTAAGTGTCTCAAAGTATCTGAAGGGTCAGAAATCTAGGAGCAGATTTATTGGGTATTTTGGGCTAAGAGTTTTTATAAGACTGTAGTCATGTATTTACCTGAACCTGAAGTAATCTCAGAATCTGAGTAGGCCAGATATGCTTCTGAGCTGAGTCTTACGTGGCTTTTCACAGGTGTTTCATTCTTCATTGTATGGATATATGCCCAGGACGCTAACCTGGTGACATGGTGGCTCAGTCACCACACAAGTGATCCAAAAGAAAGAGTGATGCCACAATTCTTTGAGGCTGAGTGATACACTATCACTTGCCTTATCCTGTTTGTTAGAAGTGAGTCATCAGGAATCCAGCCTATTCTCAGCAGGCAGTGATTACTCAGAGTGTGGTTATGAGGTGGGGCTCTGTGAGCCATTGTGGAGTGTGGCTACAGTACCCTGCATGTTGTCATATTTAAATATTGTGATAAGAATATGTATAAAATAAAGAGCAAGGGGTATAGTTCAGTACAAGGGCCCTGGGTTCAATTTCAAAAAAAATAATAAAATTAGCTTTTGTTTTTGTTCCTGGGAATCAAACTTCAGCAGGCACTCAAGTCACTGAGCTAGTCTCTGGCCAGTTAGCCACTTGCACAACATCTCAGTTTTTTTTTTTTTTTTTTTTTGATGGAACCGGGGATTGAACTCAGGCCCTTGCGCTTGCCAGGGAAGCGCTTATTCTACTGAGCTATCTTCCTGGCCCCAGCATCTCAGTACTGAGCAACCATCACACCATTGTTTCCAGAACATCATCCTGAACAAATCGACATACTCCCATCAGCTTGAATCACTGGTGGTATGTGCATGAGGCATGGATTTCAGCCCTGTCACAAAAGTGAAATGGTGGAGGACCTGCTCCTTAGCTCAGTTCTTCAAGTGGCTGCTTCAACAAAGTAGTCATGCTCAGGTTGATGTGGTTCGATCCCCAGGACTCAAACCTGCCCTGAAGGCATTTGGAGCCAGCCGCCCCCCCCAAAAAAAAAAAAAATTCTTGGGGCCAGGGAGATGGCTCAGTAGAATAAGTGCTTCCATGGCAAAATGCAAGGGACTGAGTTTAATCCTTTGTTCCGCAAAAAAAAAAAAAAAAAAAAGAAAAAAAAAAGGTAACTCATTCTCTTTTTCTGGTTTTGCCTGTGTAGGTACTAAATACAAGACTTTTTTTTGTGTGTGCTGGGGATTGCACTTGGCCTTGCACTTGCCATGCAAGCACTTACTCTACTAAGCTATCTCCCTGGCCCTATGTGTAGGTACTTAATAGAATAATAGTGTG